TTGGGTCATTGTTAATGCTGAGAAAATCGCGTAATTTTGTAATACCACTTGGTTTAGTATTACCTACATATCTACGAATATCACTAATAAGTATATCATCGAGTTGGTAATTAATTGGTAGATAATAATATATTGCCATAAGTTCTTCCGAAGAAATAGAGGAATTTATAACACGATCGCGTATTTCACGAACATGAATCTCAGTTGGAAGGTTGTACAGATGTTCTGGTAGAAGTGTGTAAGGAATTTTTTCCGGATGAAGTTCAAAATAACGTTTGGAGAATACTTCACTTGGATTTTCATTTGATGTAACTAAAATATTGACAAAATATAAGAAAATTAAAATACTACTTAAGTTTTAAAATAAGTATTTATTGTTACTTTAGAATAAAACGATTCTATTGCAACATTTTCAGTAAATCAAGTTTTCAATTAGTATTTATTACCATATGAAATATATATATAAAAATAATTATTTTCCAAAAGCTTATAGGTCAAAATTAATAATTCTTCAGACAATTGATAAATTAAAATTTTTTCATTTAAATAAACATTTTTGATAGCCAAAAAAAAAAATTCCCTCCTCTTCTTCTTCTTTTTCCTTGCTCTAATCCTAAGTATTAAGCTCCTAACGACCACCCTCATTCTAAACTTCCACTTTACACAATCATCTACGGTTTGATCATCCGTCTTCATATCACATTCAATAACACACTCTTTCTTTTTTTGGTCTTCCTCTACCTCTTCTTCCTTCAATATTAATTTCTATAACTATTCTCTATGATTGTGTATTATACACTATTAATAAACTAATATTCCTTAATACTTCAAAAGATTTGCAATTTCTTTACAGTCATTGTAGCTATAAGAATAACACAAAAACTTAAAATATTCTAATTTAAATTATCGAAAAAACGGAAGATGCACCAAATCCGATCAAATGATCAATGACAGTTCTGCATTGTGGACAAGAAGAAATACCAATTTTAAAATTATTAGCGCAAAAATTACCAATCACATGATTGCAAGGCTTTATTCTTCATCATAACATATTGTACATTCATCTAAAAAAATAGACAATTACAACTTATAAGTTGTACAGATATTCAGATTAAAAAATATTTTAAATCATCAAAAAATAATTAAATTTTAGTAATTCATCATGAAATTCCACTTAAGAAACAATTATTGTATTATCTTAATAAGTTAGTATTCAATAACACTAGTTTACAAATAAAAAAAAATTTTCTGACCTATGACTTATGATAGTCATTTTTTATGTAAAATCGTCCACTGAGTCCGAAAATGAAGTCCAAAATACAAAAAGTAGAACAGTTTTTGAGTTATTGCGAAATTAGCGTTTTTCGTGTACCGCGAAAAAACGTTTTCATTATATTCTAAATATCTTTAATTGCATTCAACCGATTTTCATTTTTTTTACATAAAATTAAACAATATTAAATTACCTATAA